TCCCTAGACGTCCATGACACCCCGCGAGCCTCTCCTTTGTGCCATCAGAATAATAATATTTCTGACTAATTCGTCCCTCAATCGTCAGAAATTACGTTTTTCAACGAGCGTGACAAACGTAGAACGTAACATATCACGCTTGCATTTGTAGCAATGAAGGTTTTGTTCTACATTCTTTATCTCGGAGGTCTCGCTATTCTGACGTCGTAACTAAACGTATCAGAATTTCTTGACCTGCGTAGGGCTCTCTCTTTTTAAATAAGTAAACTTGAGAGCTCTTGGAAAAAAAATTTCTATACACAGGAATCCGAACTCTGGCTACATGATAATAACTGAAGTCTTTATCTTCCTACTTTTGACAGGCGCTAAACATTTGCATTGCCGTGGTGGAGATCCGAAGGTAATAATTAAGGATCAGTCATTAGCCCGTAGGCAAGCTCTCTTAGCATCTCTTAGAGTAGAGCTTACTTCACTCCTTACTGTACAAAACAAAGCAAATTGTGAACAGTTGGAAAACCTCGCAGGAGTGGTCACTGAGTCCTTCGACTTCTCACCAAAAAGGGCTAACGCTTGCTTGCATGCTAACCTCTCTGGCATTTGATGTTAAAATTGCACATTGTCTGAACGTTTATGAGCACAATTAACAGAATTTAGCTTAATTTTTTTCTACCTTTCTTGTTTAGAACACAGTGACTCATAATAATCCTGGCAAAACTGAGTGGAACTCCCGCCAGTTCACATGGATGGCTCCCGCAAAGAGTGCTGGAAACATTACTTTTATGTAAGAAGGCACAAGCTGTAAAAGTTACTTGTTTATATTGAAGGCACGGTGGCCTCATGGTTAGTGTGCTCGTCTGGGGGTCGAGCGGTCCGGGTTCGAGGTCTGGCCGGGAACATTGCGTTGTGTTCGTGGACAATACACTTTTGCTCTCACCGTGCCTCTCTCCACCGAGATGTATACAGCTGTTTCGGCAAGGGTTGTTCCGCAAAAGTGTAAAAGCGCACGCGACAATGCCGATTGGTAAAATGGGTAGTAAGAGTTTGGCGTTGCTTGATTGAGGTTCACGGTGTTGAGCGAGAAGGAAGGAAAAATTATGAATACACGGGTTTCTGCTTTTTCCTTCTACATGCTGAAACACCTTGAGCTTCGATCGAGCCACAGCAGTAAACCACCATTACCCATAATAATTATCGACATTGTCGCGTAAGCTTCTCCTTGTTTGTAAGACGACCTTTCTCGAAACAGCTGTAAACGGGTAACGGCAAACGTAATGCTGGGAGTAACCCCGTGATGGACTAGCATCCCAACCAGTGGGGAGTAGAAATACTCTTAGTTGCTTCGTGCTACAGAAATCAGAATAAGCTCTTGCCTGATGGAGCACTAGCTAGGCCTGTGTGTAAACTTAACCAAATTACGAAGGCACCAATAATATACTAAAAGGGATATGTGGCATGCCTATTCCACTTTTGCGGTGTAGAAAACAGCCCGTCTAGATTTTTCACTTTTTGCGGCGAAGGACTTATAAAACAGCTTCGCAACGAAAATTCTGATCAACACTTAATTTCTCTTTGTAAGACCGACATCGCATATGACAGCGATCGATCGAAAGAATGTCATCCCAGAAGGAGAAAAATCATTTTTGTCCGTAGAGGTCTGGTAACTTTTTTCTGCTAGCTGAATACGCTGAACTTCTTCTCTGAAACGAACCCGATTCGAAGTCAGACGGGCCTCACGGTGGAGCAAATCGTCCACTTCAAACAAAAACATTTAGTATCGCTTGGCAATTCTAAACTCGGAAATTCTATTATAATTTCAGACTGCCGGGTACCTTAAAGTTTTGTATCGAATTGACTTCAGTTATCGAATCGACTTTAGATGTGTTTCGAATCGACTCGACTTGTAATGAAACGACTTTGTATCCGAGCGACCGGACACCATTAAGTTCTAATGACTTGAGCATTTCATACAGAGTTAACCCAAAGCAATGCTGAGCAATGAACTGCTGCATCGGAAAAAGTCTACGATCTGCAGTCGTCGCTGACTTTTGCTAACGATTGATTTGTTTCACGTCAATTTACAGAGCTACCATCGTTCATAACTACGCCACATTTTGGACCAAAATTGCCTCATCTGTAGTTGCTGGGCCACCAGCAGAGGAGGTGGATTCAACTGAGAGCTTTCAGGTGAGCCTATCCAAGTGAGATCCGAGCGGCTGTCACGTGAGAATATCCTCGTCGCTGACCAATTGGCCAACGAGACTCGAGGCCGTCAAACGCAACATCGAGCACCGGTCACGGACGGCGTTCGTCGCTTTAAAGTTTTACGAGATTGAACCGAAAATAATCACTGAAGACTGTGAGAAAAGTTAAAAAAGAGGATTGGTAAACTAAATTACAAATTAGATCGAGTTTTAACCTTCCAGCAAGCTCAGTTTTGAATTACAGTCAAACCTTTATTAGACGGACATCCTCGGAACCCTTGCTAGTGTCCGCTTAATGCCGGGTGTCCGCTGAAAACAGATTCCCTCAGAGTTCGTCTTAAAAGGGTCATATCAATATCGGTCAGTATTAAAAGACCTTGAAAGGGACAAATAGCATTCTCGTGAACGATCGATAACTCTGAAATACCGTATTTCCATAAACAATGATATGTACATGAGGTAAAGCGATTTAAGCATGCAGTAACAGTATGTGTATTGATCGAATCATGTGAAGGTTCACAAAATAAAACAAGAACAAAAGTTCTGTAAAAACAAAACCGAATAACAAAAATATTGCATTTCTGTGACAGCTCAGTTTGTTGGCAAACTTAAATGACCCATCTACTATAACGTTGACCAAAAAAAAAACCATGCCTTCTTTTTGCAGTGTCCATTTGATAAAGGTTTCTAACAATAGAAATGACCATAAAAGTCAAGTTTAAGGTGTCTGC